GGTGTGCACCTGGAATTTTCAACTCTTTTTGTTAATTTTTTTGCATTTTACAGGTTTTATTTTTTATTTTAATTGACTTGTTCATTTTGGGCTCATGTATAAGGTTTGAGATATAGAATCTAGAATATCTGTTCAAAAATACTACAGCTTAAAACTACTCATAAAAACTTAAAAACATAGGTAATCAAAGATTACGAAGCTCACCTCGACGAATGTTATCAGTGTAAGAAATGCAAATCTCACATCATATTTTCTTAATATCTAGTATTTATCCCAACAACAATATTCTTGCAAGTTGTGTTTAACCTCTTACAGGGCATATGTACATTTCTACTCATGTAGCGTGAAAAACATGTATAGTGTAAACAAATATTCATCAATTTGTTAATACTGCAGATATAAAGGTTCAAGTTCATTGCTTTTAATCTGTTCCCAAAACTTTAACCTGGTCTCTTGTATGGAAAATATAGGTCAGATCCAGCATCTGAAGCAAGTCTGGTAGTGTCCATCCCTAGATGCATCATCCATGCAAGTTTGGTTCGTGTAGGTATTATAATTCCTTGGGAAAATATAGGTCAGATTAAGCATCCGAAGCAAGTCTGGTAGTGTCTATCCCTAGATGCGTCATCCATTCAAGTTTGATTCAGGAAGGGCTTATAGTTACTTGGGATTGAAAATATACGTCATATCCAGCATCTGAAGCAAGTCTGGTAGTGTCCATCTCTAGATGCATCATCTATGCAAGTTTGGTTCAGGTAGGGCTTATAGTTACTTGGGAATGAAAATGTAGGTCAGATCCAGCATCCGAAGCAAGTCTGGCAGTGTCCATCCCTAGATGCATCATCTATGCAAGTTTGGTTCAGGTAGGTCTTATAGTTACTTGGGAATGAAAATGTAGGTCAGATCCAGCATCCGAAGCAAGTCTTGTAGTGTCCATCCCTAGATGCATCATCCATGCAAGTTTGGTTTAGGTAGGTCTTATAGTTACTTGGGAATGAAAATGAAGGTCAGATCCAGCATCCGAAGCAAGTCTTGTAGTATCCATCCCTAGATGCATCATCCATGCAAGTTTGGTTTGGGAAGGTGTTATAGTTACTTGGGAATGAAAATGTAGGTCAGATCCAGCATCCGAAGCAAGTCTGGTAGTGTCCATCCCTAGATGCATCATCCATGCAAGTTTGGTCTGGGTAGGGCTTATAGTTCCTTGGAAATCAACCTACTCCAAAAACTTTATCCTGGTCACTCATCTGGAAAAAGTAGGTCAGATCCAGCATCCGAAGCAAGTCTGGTAGTGTCCATCCCTAGATGCATCATCCATGCAAGTTTGGTTTGGGTAGGGCTTATAGTTCCTTGGGAATGGACCTGCTCCAAAAACTTTAACCTGGTCACTCATCTGGAAAATGTAGGTCAGATACAGCATCCGAAGCAAGTCTGGTAGTGTCCATCCCTAGATGCATCATCCATGCAAGTTTGGTCTGGGTAGGGCTTATAGTTACTTGGGAATGAACCTGCTCCAAAAACTTTAACCTGGTCACTCATCTTGGGAATGGACCTGCTCCAAAAACTTTAACCTGGTCACTCATCTGGAAAATGTAAGTCAGATCCAGCATCCGAAGCAAGTCTGGTAGTGTCCATCCCTAGATGCATCATCCATGCAAGTTTGGTTCAGTAGGGCTTATAGTTACTTAGGAATGGACTTGCTCCTAAAACTTAAACCTGGGACGCCGACGCCGGGGGTATAGCATAAGCTCATCTCGACTTCGTCGAGGTGAGCTAAAAAAGAAACATCATCAAGTGTTAAAAACAGTTTTTACATTGCACAGAAGATAATGTAATTTCATTTGTCTCTTGGGAATAATGACTGGACATGCATCCAGTTAAAGATAAATTAATGAGTTTGGTGTTGGAAGTTGTTAAGGCATATCTCTTATCAAGCGTGTGTGTTATCTAATCTCCAGGGAATAAGGCACAAGAATTAAAGATCTCTCTTCTCTTATTCTCTTAATTGTAATTTATTGTCTGTCAAAGCACTTCATTACTGGATGACCAGCTCTTTATTTTCAAAATGCATTTCAAATTGATATATCAAGATTAATTTGATTTTGTATAATGGTTTTTTTTCAACAATCAGTTTGCAGAGTGACATAACACATAATTGCAATACATTTTTTTAATGCAGAAATAAAAAAAAATAAAATGAAAAAAAAAAAAATGTTACAATGGAATTAAATTGTATTAGTATTGATGTTTCATTTGGTTGCACCTTTGTTTCATTCATTAAGAAACATGATGAGCAATAATATTTCACTGCAAATATTTGTAAGTAAATTGTGAACACCTCTAGATCCATACAGTATTTTTGAATTGGCACCTTCTCTGAAAAACCCAGCGGGGGGTATTTGTCCCTATTGGACAGTTCTAGTTGATTTTATATATAGAAAAATTTCAAGAAAGTAAAATTTGTTTTTCTGTCATAATTTTTAGAAAAATAATGACTTTTCATATAAAATCATTGTAAAAACTGCTTTTAAAAAATATCATGATATTATTGTGATATTGTGGAAAAAAATCGTGATATATTGCGATACAAAATTTTTAACGATACCCATCCCTAGTATGTACATACATTACAGTAAAAAGTATACATACTGTAAACATACTTTTTTCCACAGGGTCATAATTCCAAGGAATTTCAATTTCCGTTTAATCCGTGGGTTGAAAATTACGCGGATTTCTTAGACTGTCTCTATGTGCCTTGCATTTATATAAAGTACGCTTGGACAAATTTCTGCGGATATTAATTGACCACGTACATAGTGTAAATTAATACCATGCAGAAAAAAGTACTTCTGCAGTATCTAAAAATCGAATAAAAAAGATTGGATGTTCTGTAAGCAAGACTTACATTTTTGAATATAGATATTTTATTGTACATTTAGTTTAAAGCCATATACATGATATATGGCGTAACTGATCAAAAAAAAATACTTTTGAAAAATACAAAATTAAATAAAGAAATATAGTTAATACATTTAAATTAAAACTTTTCATACAATTCTGAACACGGAGAACACCTCGTTTCAACTAATAATACGATTTTATCTTCTCTGTAATGTGTTATTTAAATCTTTTGTATTTTCTTCCGAGTCGTAGAAAATTCCGAGAATCCAAATTAAACTGTGATATCTTTATAATGCAATTGACTTAGATTTTGTAATTTAGGGAGAAGTTCTATCTTTATATAAAGTAATGATACAAATTATAAGTTCTTATAATTTTAGTCTAATAATTTTCATTGTACATACGCCATATATGGCTTTAAAAATGTTTATTGACAAGTCTTGCTGTAACCCTACCCTAATTGTTAGTGTAGCATGGTAAATTCATGGTAAAAAAATGGTTTATGCATAGGGGGGTTGGGGGGTTGGATACAGCCCCCTCCACTTCTGTAATTTCTGGGGTGGGGTGGGCATGATGGAGGTTGTATGTTACTAAATATATCCTGTTCGCAGATTATCTGTAGATTTTGTGTATTTATTTGAGATCAATCCCGTTCCCTGTCTTCATGAGCTTCACCTTTTTCAGATAAGTTGTCATGATATCCCTCCTTTAAAAAAAAAATAAAAAAAATAAAAAACGATGCTGCATGCTGGAATTTGTGCCAGTTCCAGGGGTGAAAACGAAACGAGATCTGTGGAGATTTCAAGAAAATCGAGGCCGTAATAAAAGACTAACAACTGATTTAAAGAAAAACGAAAGTTTATAGATAGTTAAATTTGAATGGTCTTAAAATGTGTATGAATGATTTTAATCTTGTGAAAGAATTTTTTTTCAACTTTCAACTTCAATGCAATATTGTTTTTCATTTTATGTATAATTCTGGTTTTATCAATATGTGCACTTCAATTTGTTTCATGGAAATACTGTTTAAATTCAAAACACTTATACATACCACAGAAATTTGTTATACAAGGAAGAAAGCGAGTCTTTGAAACAAATACTTCAAAGAACAGGGATTAGAACTTTTTAAATATTTGCTGTGACTTCAAATTAGGCTTTCAGACAAGTTTAACAGAAAATGAAGAAAAAAACAAAACATGCATTGGCGTCGTCAGAAGCATGGGGCGGGGTGTTCAAACTTCCTTCCGTACCATTTTTCTCACCAAACCCTTTCCTTCTTTGACTACACTGCAACAATGCTTTTGAACGTTTTGAACTGCTTTTGGGGACGCTCAATGCCTATATAATGTCTATCTTTAAGAAAAAAAGTAAGGGGGCTAACCCCCCCACCCTCCCCCTTCTGGTTCTGAAGCCCATGACATGTAAGACCTAAAAAATATACAGAGATCGATAAAAATTTATAAAACCAATAGAAAGGTTGAGGATGAATGAAAAATTGTGCAATATATCGTTAACCAGTCTTCCTTCATAATAAAATATTTTAATGAAAAAAATCACATCAAAACTTTGGGTATGAATCAAAATCTATCTTTAAGAGAAAGAGAAGAGAGATTTTTTTAATTAAAAAAAATAATCTCTTCAGAAATATGTCTATTTATTATAATGTCATGAAAAGCAGTTCCCATCAACAACTATGTAATTTGTACGAATCAGAATGAATGGCGTTCGACTTGTGGTCGAATGTGTTCGACTTGCGATCGATTTAGTATCTTTTTCCTTTGATAACAATTGTTTCATTCAGTTGCCTCAGTAAACAACATGCTAAAATAACACTTTGGGTACATATTTTGATACATCTCTGGGTTTATGACACGCATAACGCACTGTGTTCTCAACCTTGACGGTGAATATAAACAGGCGTTCGACTTGCGATCAGTTTACCCTATTAGTTTTAAGGATATGAGGTAGTCGAGTCCAGCAAAAAAAATCAGATGTTTAACATTGTTTACATTTATTTTACACTGTTCATGGAAGAATTAAGAAACAAACCACCTCTTATACAGTGGACAGAGGTGAGGCAAGATTCACTGTCTTTTCAGGTTTGTGGACATACATTTCTATCCGACATGGCAAAAATGAAGTTGCAGAAGCTGCAGAGTTACCTGGAAGATATTGACGAGTTTGATAATCCTAAGATTTTGTTGGAACAGTACCCCACAACCCCACATATAGCTGCTGTCATGTTACACGAGATTCAGCTAAAGTATGGTGACATAGCTGGCTGCAGTGTCCTTGACCTTGGTTGTGGATGTGGAATTCTAACTATTGGTTCTGTGATTAAAGGAGCTGCCTATGTTTTAGGAATTGATATAGATGAAGAGGCATTGGAAGTTTGTCGGAGAAACTTGGATGAATTCGAAGTTTCTAACGTGGATCTGCTTCAACAGGACATTGTAAATATTTCACCAAAAGACTCCAAAGATTCACAGAAAATGTTATCTAAAAATTTTGATACAGTGATTATGAATCCTCCATTTGGAACTAAGAAGAATGCAGGCATCGACATGGAATTTGTTAGAGCTGCTCTGATGATGTCAACAAATGCTGTTTATTCTTTGCACAAGTTTAAAACCAGGGAACATTTGCACAAAAAAGCCCAGGATTGGGGAGTATCCATTGAAATATTGGGAGAATTTAAGTTTAATGTTGCAAACACATACAAATGTCACAAAGAGGAGGAAGTTGATATAAAGGTTATTTTTGTGCGATTTGGACATAAAAAATAAATAAATTCTTGTTAAGTCACTGTCTCTTATAGTACGATTTCATTGCTTTATTAGTAACCTTGACTTCCTAAGGATGTTTGTCATAATAAATTGCATATTTCAAAAATGATTTTTTTTTTTTCTTTTGCATTGAGGAGTTGAGTACAGTAAAAAATCTTCTGGAAATTGCAGTCTTTGCAAAGAACGAGGGCGCTTATGATTGGCATTCGGCAGGAATCTGAGCGTAATTGAAAAGTGAACATTTTATCGACATGTCACATGAAATTTTAACATTTTGTTATTTACCAGGTTTCTTTGCAATAGGAAAGGAAAATATTTTCCTGAAATTGAGCTTTGATTTGCTAAAAAAGAACTTGAAAATTGGCCAGATCGGACATTTGATACAAAATGGTACATTTTCAAACACGTTTTTCTAAAAATTTTCCATCTCTGGGTCTTCTCTCCATGATTTTGAAACGTTATTTATGTGTATCTTAATTCAAAGAAATGAGTACACATTTTTAAACAAGAGGCCCATGGGCCACATCGCTCACCTGAGAAGCTTTGACCATTCTGTTCTTTACCAGATTTCCCCCTTGTTATACATAATGCATCCCCACCCTACCCCACTGATCATAATTTAGACATTTTGAAATCTACTGCACATATGTTTCAGCTTTTTTTGGCCCAGTGGTTCCTGAGAAGAAGATTTTCAAAGATTTTTCCTATATATTTCTATGTAAAACTTTGATTCCCTATAATGGCCCTGCCCTTCCCCCATGGGTCATGATGTGAACACTTTAGAATCTACACTATACCAGGATGCTTCCACATAAGTTTCAGCTTTTCTGGCCCAGTGGTTCTTGAGAAGAAGATTTTCAAAGATTTTTCCTATATATTTCTATATAAAACTTTGATTCCCCATTGTGGCCCCTCCCTTCCCCCGGGGGTCATTATTTGAACAATTTAGAATCTACATTATACCAGGATGCTTCCACATAAGTATCAGCTTTTCTGGCCCAGTGGTTCTTGAGAAGAAGATTTTCAAAGATTTTTCCTATATCTTTCTATGTAAAACTTTGATTCCCCATTGTGGCCCCTCCCTTCCCCCGGGGGTCATTATTTGAACAATTTAGAATCTACACTATACCAGGATGCTTCCACATAAGTTTCAGCTTTTCTGGCCCAGTGGTTCTTGAGAAGAAGATTTTCAAAGATTTTTCCTATATATTTCTATATAAAACTTTGATTCCCCATTGTGGCCCCGCCCTTCCCCCGGGGGTCATTATTTGAACAATTTAGAATCTACATTATACCAGGATGCTTCCACATAAGTTTCAGCTTTTCTGGCCCAGTGGTTCTTGAGAAGATTTTCAAAGATTTTTCCTATATATTTCTATATAAAAATTTGATTCCCCATTGTAGCCCCGCCCTTCCCCCGGGGGTCATGATTTGAACAATTTAAAATCTACACTACCCCAGGATGCTTCCACATAAGTTTCAGCTTTACTGGCCCAGTGGTTCTTGAGAAGAAGATTTTTTAATGACCCAACCCTATTTTTGTCTTTTCTTGATTTTCTCCCCTTGCGAGGGGATATGTCCCTTCATTTTAACAATTTAAATTCCCCTTTACCCAAGGATGCTTTGTTCCAAGTTTGGTCAAAATTGGCCCAGTGGTTCTTGAGAAGAAGTCGAAAATGTGAAAAGTGTACAGACGGACAGACAGACAGACGGACAGACAGACGGACGGACGACGGACAAAATGTGATCAGAAAAGCTCACTTGAGCCTTTGGCTCAGGTGAGCTAAAAATGGAGAGAAGACCCAGAGACCACGAAAAATGAACTTTTTCCCAAAAAATCCAAATGTGTGAATAAGGTGCTTCTTTGTCCTTTTCAAATCAACTGTAACTTGAGTAGCAGTGTTAGCTCAGTAAGTTGGTCTGCCTGTTCAGTGCACTCGAAGCGAAAAGTTTTTGGTTCGAGCCTGGCATTGGGCGTTAATTTTTTTTTTCATGAAAACAACCATTTATGTTGTCAGTTTCGTTTTATATACTGATATATTAAAATTTTGAATTAGATAAATTTTGGTTCAGTTTGGTTCTGGAGCGAAATCAATCCCAATCTTCTATTCTATATTGTACACGTACTCGTACATGTATCATGCATCTATGCATTAAATATTTAGGTGTTTATTTTTTGTAAAAAAAATTACTATGTTATTGTACCCACGGACATAAATGTTACAAACTCACAAAGTCTTTCAAACTAAACATGCTAAATGAATAAAAAAAATTATGGACGTGTTTGTAAAATCTGAACAGCTATGCTCAGCCAACCAAATAATGGACATTTAAGGTAGTCTGATCCTCAGGTTTATAAAATTAGCAGTTAAGTAATCAAAAATACTCATAAAAGTATCTCTAAATCCACGAAGTTAAGTAATTTTATCCACAATATTTCTTTAATTTTAAAAGTCAAAATTAATCATATTATATAGGGAAAATTGTTAAATCTCCAATATTTTGCAGAAAAAGCGAATTGGAATTTCATATATACTTTTTCTAATTTCAAATTGATCAACAAATATATTTTGGGCTAAAACACGATAGGTATCCTGGCATTCAGAGAAATTGTCATGATTTTTATACTTATTTGGTATTTTTTGACTTCTATTTCCGTCATGTATCCTATAATACATAGTGTAAAAAGCTTTTGCTATCATTGCAAGACACCATAAATTACTTCTCATTTCATTATCATGCAAATAAACATTGGTATCTAAGGCTGGATTCAAGAAAATCTTATTTCTCTAAAACTGTATTATTTTTTTCTCCTTTTATGGGTACAAATGTCAACTTTTATAAGACCTTTTCTAAGACTTCAAAGACCTTGAATCTTATAAAGATGAATAAAATGAAAATTGTTGCATGAAAAAATTTCATTTTCAAGCTTAATTTTGATGCATTTCAAATTAAATGTTAATTTTTGGAGTTATCCTTCCTGGCTGAGGATCGGATATCCTTAAACCAAAAATGTTTCGTAGAAATGATTCCTGCAGATCACACGCCAAATGCGCCCATCTTCTTTACTGGAGTATATTTTACAATACCTTTAATGACAACTAATGTAAACAATGATAGGTATAAATACAGAAATGGAAATTAATTAGCAAATGAAGATCCAAAGGTAAAGAAAAAAAAAGGCATGTTCAGGGTAAAACATTTCTAAAATGTGAATGAAACTGTCAAGAAAACAACAAAGAGCAGACAGTTTCTATTGATCTGAATTGGAGAATTTAAGGGAGGCAACTTTTGCTTGCATGATGAATAACTGTGTACTTGTGCAATTGTTTTATTTATTTTTTGTTACTTATTAAAAGGGCTACTAAATTCTTTGTTTATTAAAATGCAAGGGTATTGAATAAATACATGAAAAAATACATGTATATAGATGTTTTTAAATGAGAACTATTTAATTGATTTATTTATACATGTATTGAATTTGGCAACTTTTTTTAAAATTACCGCTAATATTATCTGCATTTGAATGCTAGTACATCACACAGAACAAAAAAGAAGCACATTTCTTTACAGGATGTTTGACTTTGCCATTGTGCTCATATGGAAGTGGGATGAGCAATATCTTATGAACTCTGTGTTAACAGTACATGTAGTGCTCAGTATTACACAAAACCTTAAATGAAGAGACAATTAAATCAATAGTTAACAGAAAATCAAAGAAAATCTTACCAGAAAGCCAAAAAACAAAACAAAAAAAAAATGCAATGAAACTTGGGTCTTTAGAATGATCAGTGAATTTTGTCAGGTCATTTTACAATGACAAGTCTTGAAGAAACTTTTTGGCAGTCTAAATTTGAATTTCAGGCAGATTTTCTTGCATTATTGGATCTAAGGTCATCATGGACTTTGACTCTGAATCTTGGGAGACAAGTATGGAGACAGACAAACTTAACCAGGAACTGTTTGGAAAGCATCAAATCTCTCCAAAAAAAGTAAGTTACAAAAATTTCTTGATGTCATGTGCATGTTTAAAAAACTTAATTTTTTTATCTTCACAGTGCATATTACTTATAAACTGTAGGGAAAAGACCAGAAAACACAAGTGAAAAAGAGGAGGGGCAGAGACACAGATGAGTATGAAGCAGGTGAGAGGACATCTGAGGTAAAGAGGAAGGGAAAGAAAAGAAAACAAGAGGCTACAAGCAGTGATGACAGCTCAGGAAGGACAATAAAGAACAGGGTAGACAGTGAGTTTTCTCTGGCAGGAGGTACCAAGGTCTCAAAAACCAAGAAGGGAAAGAAAAGGCATCAGACTGTCAACAGTGATGGTGATTCTATCACAGTGAAAGGAGGGGTAAGAAAAACAGATTCTGTGTCTGAAAATACTATAGAAACTAAAACCAAGAAGGGAAAGAAAAGAAAACATACAGCAGTTGACAATGATGACCATTCTGGGACAAAGAAAGAGAGAGTAGAAAACATAAATTCTGTGTTCAAGTCAGGTGACCAAAGCAATGAATCAGAAACAACAAGGAAAAGGAGGAAAAAGAATAGGAACAAGAAAAACAAATTCAAAACAGATGGTCTTGTAACACAAAATCTTGGTGGGAAGAATTTCCAGAGGAGAGAAATTAAAGAAAAAATAACCACCAATTCAAATGTGATACCAGTAATATCTGAAAATGGTAGAAATGATAGGGAAAATGTAGACAAGAGGAAAAAGAAGAAACTTTTATTTGAGAGACAAATTCCAGTAAGTGATGAAGTTGCTGAACAGACCAGTCAGGAGATGGACAGATTAGAGTCCAGTGATGATAAAGGTAACAGACATACAGAGGTCAAAGGGAAGAGGAAAGTCAAACCAAAAGCTGACAACAATAAGCCTCAGGGGTTAAAGCATGGTGACATCACAAGTAAGGAACAAGGTTCAGAGAGTTCTAATAGAAAGGTGAAGAAAAAAATATTCAACACAGCTATACTGTCAGATATTCTAGCAGCTGATTCTCAATCAAAGAAAGTGACAAATAAAGAAAAACTTAATGAAATGGGTGAAAAGGAGACTATGTCTGAACCAAAAGCAAAGAAAAAGAAGAAAGAGAAGAAAAACAACAAAATGGAGGAACATCCCTCTGAGGAGGAATCCTCCCCCACATCTCCTTCATTACAGGAAGAGAATCCCCCCAGGCCTCAGTCCCTGAAAGAGAGATTGATGGAGCAGCTGAACTCCGCCCGATTCCGTTACATCAACGAGCAGCTGTACACACACTCGGGGCACGAGGCCCAGGAGATGTTTGAGGAGGATGAGGAGGCGTTCCAGGTCTATCATCAAGGCTTCCAGACCCAGGTCAACAAGTGGCCCGTCAACCCAGTGGACATGATCATACAGGACATCAAAAAACTGTAGGTTACCTTCAAATATTGAGATTTAAAAATTCATTCCAAAGTTTAGGTTTATAATGATGAGGGGTAATAAATTCCACATGCATGCCTATAGGAATTTGAAAACATAGTGTAAAAAGTCCATGTGTGCATATTTGTCTCTTCTTTAAGGTAACAAGGTAATCAATCTCTCTTCAATCCACTAACAAGTTTCTTAATGTTGTTTGTATTTAGACCTCAAAACAAGGTGGTGGCGGACTTTGGTTGTGGAGATGCTAAAATTGCCAGAGGTGTTCCACAGAAGGTGCACTCATTTGACCTTGTTGCACTTAATGACAGTGTGACAGCTTGTGACATGTCTCATGTAAGTCAATGACAAATAATTCTAGTAATCATGCCCTCAATTGTCCTGTGAAACTGAACCGCACACTCCAGTATCTGAAAACTGAAATGACATGTAATCCAAAAAAAATGGAAGTATAATTTTTTGAACATATGAAAAGTAGCATCTTCAATAAGAAGGTGACCCAAATTTCAAATGGTAATAAATCACCTCTATTTCCTCATTTTCAGAAGTTAATGATATCATGACACTTCACTTCCTATTTCAGGTTCCCCTTGACAGTGGGAGTGTGGATGTAGCCGTTTTCTGTCTCTCCTTGATGGGGACGAATCTCACAGATTATCTTGCTGAGGCCCACAGAGTTCTAAAAATGGGGTGAGGATATAGAAAACAGGTCTTACAGTTCTGTCCCCAAATATCAGAGAAGCTGATTTAATATAAATCACATTAATTGCAAAATAGGCACAGCATGCCCCAAATTTTATTACATGTATATGTTTTAAAATGCTGCTTAAGCTTTGCTTAAGTTACATTTACTGGGTAAATCAGAAGAAAATTATTTGTTGTCTCTTTGTACTCCTGTACAAAGAGACAACAAATAATTTTCCTCCAATTTCCCTCATCTTCATATAGAGTTATGCCCCTTGCGCTTGGAAAATTCCAATTATTTGCAGTTTCTGTTCATTTTCTTTGCAGAGGTTGCACATATTAAAATGAAATTTGATATACAGTTTTATCATAAGAATATCAAGGTTTTTTCTGTTTTGGATACAATCAAGCCATTTTGGGCAGAGTTATGCCCCTAGAGCTGGGAAAAATTGGGATCCAATTATTTGCAGTTTCAGTTCATTTTCTTTGCAGAGATTGCACATATTAAAATGAAATTTAGTACACAGATTTCTCAGATGAATATCAATTTCAAGTTCTGTTTTGGTGCGATCGAGCCATTTTGGACAAAGTTATGCCCTTTGGACTTGGAAAAATTACAATATTAATTATTTGGGGATGGGATCTCTTATTAAAATTCTTTTTGCTCTTGTTTTTCAGGGGACGTCTGAAGATTGCTGAAGTGGCCAGTAGATTCCAAAGTCTTCCTCACTTTCTAATCAGTATTGAACAGTTTGGTTTCTACCAAGAGTCCAAGGTAAAACTTGTGTAGAGATATTACCACAATGTTTTTAAGTCACTAGTCAGATTGGTGTCCCCCTTGTTCTGTCTCCATCCATAACTGTGAAATCATCCAATTCATGTGAGGGTCAATGGTCTGTGTTATATAAGGAGACCCACTTATTAATGTCCATAAAAGGTTTGAACTTACTTCATCCTTTTTTTTATTTAAACCAACAAATTAAATTTTGAGAAAAGAAAGTTTTCCTAAAATCATGCTATACATGTATGACCTTACAAAAATGTGGAATTTGAATGTTTTATCTGTCATATATACATTTCAAGAACCTTACTTTAGTTACTTAGATGAGGTCACTTAAATCCATTTATTCTGTGTTCTATTAAATTCATTTACTGCTATATTTTATCTGTTCCTTTTATTTCAGGATACATCCAATAAGATGTTCTACTTGTTTAACTTCAAGAAAACAGGAAAACCTAAATCCAAACTTCCAGCTGTGACTCTTCAACCTTGTGTGTACAAGAAAAGATAGCACAGAATAAAAACCTTATATATAAAACCATTTATTTATCACTCATTAATAAATAATTTTAAACAGAAAACATTTGTGTTTTCCATTTTATCATATGTCCATATCGTCAATGTCTTCTCCCTTTGGATTCAGGAAGTCTGTGACCTTGACCCCAGTTTTGTTGATGGCCATGATGGGTTTCATGGCAGCCATCATGCTGTTGTACAAATTTGGAAACAAAATTTCCTGGGCTGCCAGTAGCTGTTTAGTTCTATGTCTCTCCTATGAATAGGAAAGAACATCACATCAACCAGGCTTTGACATGGGTTTCTTTACACAAATTAAATAGAAGTAATATTATTAGGTAGAGTTCCAAATAAATACATGTACAGTGGAATCAACATTGTTTGTGGAGAGTCAATGTTAGTGATTTAGCAGAAATTTACAGGTTTTTAGGGACATGATTTTGTCGGTAATTTGCTTATTTTATTAAAATATACACTGTATAATTCTACTATTTCAATGTTCGTGGGGACTTTAATTCATGGGTAACCAAGAAATCCACAAACATTGTTCCTGCACAAACAATGATTCCACAATTGCTAAACTATGATCACTGCTTGCAAATCCAATGAAATAAGCTTACAAATCCAATCCATCCATTAATGCTTAATTGAAATCCACATAAGATACTTGTTGGAATATTTATTAGAATGTCTAAAAAAGGTGAATTTTTGAAACTGAAGTGATACAAGTGTATTCAGAAATATACCTTTGGTGCTTCAAAACAGGCTGGACAGTTTTCAGCTATAACGGGTAACTTGTTCTGTCAAGAAATTCGGGTCAATTTTATAAAGAATGTAGAATCATTTTTACCGCACAAAGACATAATATTTTCAAATATTATTGCTCAAAAGTTGTTTGAATGGAATGAAATTGCAAAAAATTAAAATAAGCACCTTTTCTGCAAAAAGTCTTAGATCTTTCTCTCTGACATACACAAATGGTCTTATAACCCTCAAATCCCCTTCTCTGAAAAAAAAATACATATACATTCTTACAAAATTTTATTTATTGCACCATAATGTAAACAAAATGTTCACAAAAATAAATTACTGTATACTAGGTTATTTTCCCCTTATGTTATTTTTTTTTCAAACTTGCAAACAATTTTGCCCCACTTTATATTTGTCCAGACAAAGATTATGCCGTTTTTGTTTGATTCACTTCGTTTTAGAGTCACCCACTAGCAACGAGGGCAAAAAGATCAAAATAAAACGAGCAACAAAATTCCCTGTATTTTGTATGTACTAGGTATTTCTACAATTATTACAACCTTTGTGTAACCTTGAAAAGTATAAATATTTTATATACTTACTCCACATCATAGTGAGCTTTCATTGTTCTCAGGATCCCATTGTGGAAAAATGACATCAAGAAGCTGTAAATAAATAATCACATGGTTGTATACCAAAGAGAATCTTAATTTCTCTATGTTATCCGTTTTAGAAAAAAAAGGTACAAAACAAATGTTCCAAATATTAAAACATCAATTTTATAAATGATAAACAGAACTATGTCCTTCCTATACATATTCTGTTCTCTTTCCTAATACGTACCTTTCACACAAGTCATCCAAATGTTGTCCTAATGCTAGAACATTGTAGCCATTTTTTCTGGCACATGCGTAAATTCTGCCTCGCTTCATTCGGCTACAAAAGCTACAGATTGATGCACAGTTCTCCAGGCTCTTGGCTTGATCCATGATACCTTTTAATGTATGTTTAAAATTATTATAGTAAAGAATTCAGAAAAATACACGTCAGACACTACAATGTTCTTTAAATTATAACAGTGACTTAATCCGAAGCACCGTATCATGTTTAATGAAAAAGCGAAGAGTGACTCAACCCAACAGCTGTGATGAAGATGAAATTAAAGCAAAAATAGAAAAGACAAGGATTGATTATTCTATAGATAGAGATATAAAGGATTTAAATGACAGGGATTCAGGAAGAAACAAAGTGAGTCTCGTGTCTCACGCCTTATCTGACGTGATACAGCCCTTCAGATCAAGTCACTGTTATAATAATAATATATCATTAGTACTCACACTGGGACTCGTAGAAGTACGGCACATTGAGACTGGCCAGATATTGCTTGAGAGGACTAGGATCATAAGAGGGGGTCTGAGGATCTACAGTAACCGCTCCAAACTCAAACGTCAGTCCCTGTCATAATAAAATATCAAAGTCAGGGTCACATGCTTGTAAGAGTAATATCATATGACTTGACATGTACAAATTGACATAGCTTTAATACTACAGAGACAAACATTTATCTGTGGCTTACCTTGGCTTTACAGTAGAACTGATATTGTCTTATGGTATGCAGCAGAGTCAGAGAATCCTTTCCACCAGACAGACAGACCAACACACGATCTCCAGTCCTCAGCATATCATAATCCTCTAGACCCTAAAATTAATAGAACTGATTTGACAAGAGGCTATACCTCAAAATATGACTGATAGGCAACAATGCTCATCTGAGTCAAATATGGTACTGCTAACTCTTGGTGGCCATAAGTGAGTTGAGGCTATGTGTGGCGGTTTTTATGCAAAAAATCTTTTAAAAAAATGTTAAGGGCTATACCTATCACACAGAAAGAGTTTAGACTAATCACTTGTTTTCTGAAACATTCTTGATACCCACTACTTGCGATAGCCAGTACGCATTATGATGTCATATTATGACATCATCGACCTCTACTACACAAGTTTGTAAGGAACATCAACAAAATTGCTTTGGCACAATGGCATACCTTACTTTGTCTTACAGAAACAAGGTATAAATAGACACAGAACATTCCAAAGATTTAAGATATTGCTGCACAAATGTCAACACTGCGATTGTTTAGTTACCATTCGTACAGTTTTAAGTTGAAATAGTAAAAAAATTCACAGTCTGGTGTAAGTTTCCAAAAGTCTTGATCAATTGAGAAAGTGCATAGGATTTGAGCAGCAGTTTTATTAATTTTTAAAATATTCATACATTAATTACTTTAAATCAAATAGGATATGCCCTTGCACCAACGTTATTTTGTTGATGTGTTTAATTACCTTGAATGGGAAGGAACAATGATGTCATAATGTGTACTAGCTTTAACATGCTGTGGGTACTATAGAACATGTAAGTATGAATAAGAAAATGAATTTTAACTTTCTCTGTATAGAAGATATGCATATGAACTAATAAAAACTTGATTCTTTTGCTCAGGTAAAAGGCTAAAGTGAGCAGAAAATAGATTTAAATTGTGATAAAAATCATGTACACATCATATGTACTTCATCATAGCATACCTTAAGAAATTTGGTGAAGATAGTTTTCGGAGGTGAGAACCACTTGCTAGCTGTAGATTTCTTTTTCGGAGAATCCTTTGTTTTAATGCCACAAGTCTTTGGGTTTTGTCCATTACTTGTATGATCTGATGCTAATTTCTTCACTTCTGTCTTTTCATGCTTTATCTGTTTTGAATCTGAACAAGCACCATTCAAAGAAGACACATCACTAACTTCATCCTGTAAATCTCTTTTTCTAGAAGCACAGATGAGAGGGCACACATTGTTTATTCCTGAATTCGTGTCATCTGAATCTTTTCTTTCTTTATCTGTAGATTTATCAGTCTGTGTTTTTTCTGTGTTTGTATAAAGTTTAGCACAGTATGTGGTTTTAGTTGAAGTACTTTCAGAATCACCCTTTGCTTTGTCATTATACCCTCTCTCCAAATCCTGAATAATTTTTTCTGAGAATTCACTTCCTTGTGCCATCTCTGACTGGTTTAATGTTGGTGGAGCAAACACCACTCCATCGTTCTTCATTACTTCCAGTACAAAGGGAGGTAACCCCAGCTTGTCCCTAAGGGAGGGGGGACAGAATGGCAGCTGGGAGGAGAAGTTAGGGATGGTATGTCCAGACAGAGTGTCGGCAGCCTCGCTAGGTAACAGGAACCAGCGATATTTCTTAGCCTGGTCATCAAACATGTGGGTATGATCAGGCAACTGGTATTTTGTCTAAAGAAAAAAAAATAAACACTGTAAATTATAGCTGACAAATCTTTTTTTCCCTTTACATGTGTCTTATCAAAACGTCATACCAAGACTGGCAGATTGCACCACTATCAATTTTATGTCTGCATCTACGTTCATTCATATTATTAATCTGACATTCTAAATTGTTTATTCCTTATACTTACCTTCATAGCCTGTTTGAAAAGTTCATTGGACTTCTCCAAGCAATCCTAAAAGCAAATCAAAGTAAGATTCAAGTTTAATCCATAGGCATAGATATCTATGATTATCAATTTTACTCATTTCAATAGAGTACACATACTTCATTATGATAAATCATCAAAGATAAATGTAAATAAATAAGACCCAATATCATAAATAATACAATAATAATACCGTATAAGTAGAATTTTTAGCGAGGATTTAATTTTGGCATTATTAGCGAGGGTGCCGAGATCGCTAAAATTGAATATTGCTAAAAATTAATTGCATTTTATTTGTAATAGCTTCTTAAATGGGCATTTTAAAATCGCTAAAATAACATCTCACTAAAAATACATTACCAGTTTTTATGGACAAATCGCTAAATTTGCTTCTCGCTAAAATTTCTACTTATACGGTAATAGAGTAAAATCTCACTGCATAATCAGTAGGGAGAGGCCCTTTGACAATATGTGGAGGAACTTTGTAGGACATCTCCCCCGATCTGTAGGAAATGTGATCCAGCCATTTTCTATCTTTGAACACCTGGAAATCCTTCTGTCGCCATTCTCCAGTCTCAGGGTTAAACATATACTGTCAAAAAATACCCACAAATATCACTATGTACTGAGAAATATACCCACAAATATCAACATGTATTGTGGAATATACTCACAAATATCAATATGAACTGTCAATTATAACCCCAAATATCAACATGTACTGTCAATTATACCCATGTACTGTCAATTATACCCCCAAATATCAGTAAGGGACTAATCTCACCTGAGGTAGAAGCTTCCAGCCATCTTTTGCTACAGTT